TCTCTGCGTTTTGTGCAACCAGTTTGTGGTATCTCTAGCTAGGGTTTTATCAGCTTCACTCCTATCTAAGTCGAGGACATTGGCCACGGTTGGGTTTTTCAGTAACTTGGCCTCGGTGAAAATTTCGTCTACTGAATCGGGCATTCATCACACCTCTTCATGGACGGCGGATCTGCCGCGCTAGAGGAACGAAAAGTGAATGGGGATTTCGTTTCCTGGGGGATTTTGGTTTCGTTAGAATGTTGTGTTGAAAGTGAAGCACCATGTCCGTTAGACAGCCCGAGTCGGGTTTGCCGTGCCTAGGGGAGGGCTTTGATTGTCTAGATGCGTGAGGAAATGGCCTAGCTCAGAGTGTTGTGATACAGCTTGATCCTCGCAACCGGTCCCTAGCCCCATGGGAAGGTGCCGTACAGCTGTGGCGGGGGGTGGGTTTCGGCGTTCACGTTCGTGTTTTGGGGGGGTTTTAACCTATAAAATTTTCTGTTTGGGAGGAGGCTTAGCACGCGCGAGACTTTCACCCGAAGGCGTAAACACCATAAGCTAACCTAACCACAAGGCGTGGCCTTGCCTTCCTCTGTGGGACATCGCGAGTGAAGGCAAAAACAACACCACCACACAAGCGATAACACCACCATTTCTCTCCGTCAAAACCGAGCCCTGACCCCCCCTTCTCCATCCATCCTGGTCCCCGTGTTTTACCACCTTCTTTTCCAGCGAATATTCCTAGATGTCAATAGGCGATACACCACGCGGCACGGACAACCCTCCCGGCACAGGTGTTAGCTCGGTTGAGGACACCATCCAAGACCGGAAGTCAATAGAGACACTTCCACACCGGCAGAGTACTTGATTGCCTTATCCCAATCTACCAAATCTCGCTCCGGTCGCTATCATGGAAACTCTTGCTGGTGAACGTCCTCCGGCTTCAAGATCGAAACCTGGCCCTATTGTTGCATTACATAGTGACTAAAGCAGAGAAGAAATGGCAGAATCTTTTACAGGTTGAGCCTTTTATTATTATTTACGTTAGCATGAATACTTGAACACGTGCGAATTTGAGCATATCCATGCTAGCCCATAACCTTTTCCTACAGATAGACAGAGCCTTGTACAAAGTGAATCGCTGAGCGGGGTCTCATTGCGAAAGCGATTTCCCGGAGATACAAGGGACACAATAAAAGTTAGCGCCCGAGAGATTTGCTCCAGTGAATATTGCCACAATATCTAGACTGAATCCTGTTTAGGCGGAGGGTCTTTAGTCCAGGTCGCGATTTTCAGAGCAGTATTCTTCATCCTTGCGGTTAACGGTGTCTGCGGCAGCGTTTGTGGGGGAAACACAAGTAAGCCAACAAAAAGTGGAAGGTTAATTTTTGGGTGGTTGTGTTGCAGCCACTGGTCGAGTGGGGTTAGGGGAGTTCTTATCCTTAAGCTTTCACGGGAGTAAGCGATAATTTTGTTGCTGCTCGGTTGAATTGGGGGGGGGGGGGGTCAAAGAAGTAGATTATCGCTTACTCCCGGGAGTAAGCGATAATCCATCTGTGACTCTGAACACGGTGGACAACGCAACACATGAATGCAATAACCGCTTATGAGCTATAAATGGACAACTCTCAAAACTCACCCTACCAGAAACCATTGCAATCATTTTAGTTCCGGAGACTCATTTCTTACCGAAGCTGGCGTGAGGCTTTGGTAACTCGGTTGCAAAAGCAAACACACACCATCGCTCTACAGCTTGGGTTCTAAAATCAACGGGTCGAGGAAGGCGATCTAGGATAGTGGCACTAGTAGCTGTGGCTTTGGAGTACTATAAAAACCTGAGTAAAAGGGAAGGTTCCCCGACCATTTTGGGAAAGGGAATGAGTGGGCAGGTGGCAAGGAGCGAAGTTGTTCCAGCATGAATAGAAGGATCTTGTCAATTCCACTCATGCTGTGATTGGGATACCGGTAATAGCTTGTTTACGGAGAGTGGCGCTCTACTGTTGCGAAATATATATTCCATGGGGGTAGAGACAGTATTTCAGAACGCTCCGGCAGGGCGCCGAAGCTGAGCTAAATATTCGTGTCCAAACGAAAGCAAGGGGGTATGATACCCCTCCACCAGACATAGAAATGGCCGATGGAATGCCGAGGACCGACTTGGTTAGTGCTCCAGAAAAGGGCGATGATGCGCCCATAGCCTCGGATGCGAACACCATCACAAATGGCATAGGCAACAGCGTTAGAGATGCCAAGCTCAGAGAAATCCTCGTTACTGGCACTCTGGCAGATGACGGCATGGCGAGGGCGAGAATTTCCTGGCCGCTGGGTGGATTCTGGAGGAATGGGGTCCCTAGGAAGGTGATCACGCTCCCGCCAAATAAACCGGTCGGTGGGTTCTCGGGGGGCCTCACGAGGCACCCTGTGCCCTAGGCTACCTCTACCCACACAAAGATGGGGAAGAGGGCTATTAGTATTGGCAATGCGTAGATTGCATTGCTTTTCTTTGCGCCCCTCCAGCACCTACACTATACTACAGCCTAACAACGGCAACGGCCTAGGCCAGCCGAGGTGTCTACTGAACAGACTTTTTTCCTTTCTGATATCCTTCGTTTCTCCTTTTCCCCGGAAGTCTATATCTTGCATTCTCTGAATTGTTAGGAAAATATAATACATTTGCTAGTTAGCCATTATGGCGTCTGATGCTCGTATAGCGCAGTTTGAAGCAAGAAAAGTCGCGTCCCGCGCTGCTCCGCAGCATGTTGCGCGGTCCATGATACAAGCACTTCACAAGGGACAACTTCGTAATAGGTGCGGCCCTCCTTCCCCTTTCCTCCCAAACAAAAGTCATGATCAAAACGACGCCCCTACAAACCTCCTCCTAACCCACCCCCCTGCCCCCCATTGCTCACGGGAGCCCTCTACTATCGCATAGCTCTCTTTCTCAGCAGGAAAGACATGCCGTTAGCCGGATCGAGTACGTCGCACGAGGCACATCGAGGGACGGGGCGTTCAGGGATGGCCCGGTTGTATTTATTTTCCTCAATGACTGGGAGGAGGGTGCGGGGTGGGTCGGAGTTGGGGTTGGCAGGGTGAAGGGATGGGTTGCTGTGGTTGATGATTGGGAGGGGAAGTGTGATACTGGGTGGAGTGGTTGGAAGGGGGGGGGGGCTTTGGACTTGTGGACTTTGGGCTAATTCGTGAGTGTGTATTACGGTGTCTTACTGCGGTGGGTGACAGGATGGGAGGTTGTTTTCCGGGGCCTGGTGGTGGGTTTCCATGGGGCGGTGTTGTAAGAGTGTATCACACTTCCCTCTCGGAAATTGGAGTTGTGTTATAGGGTATCATATGCTTGTGGTGTGCCGGTCAGGGAAAGCGAACCTTTTTATCCCTTAGTGCCGACTGGCAAATTGGTATCCGCTATGACCAATATGATCGCCCATGCGTATCCCGGGACACCCTGCAGTCAACGCCCCGGAATCTCGTTACCATGCACCCGGCCCCACAGCCCTCGTGCAGCGGGGGAGTAATCCTATTTCCGAAATGATACTGCTGGAGGAACCTGGGTGAGTTTAGTGGAGATATTGCTTTGATCCAATACTTTTTTTTCTCTCCTTTTTTTCTCTTTTCTATCACCCCCCTAGCTAGGGAGGCCATTAGATAAAATGTAAGGGAGCGGGGCTTTTGGAATACCGCAGAGACTACCGGTTGAGGTTAACTCCAACGCACTCTTCCGATCATCTGTACTTCTCATATATGATACAAATATGACCCGTGGTGCTACCCTCCCCCCCTGACGCACATAGTCCTGGTTCGTGCTTACCTTCCTACACCTTATTACAGTCTCTTTTCATACCTTTGTGAACATCGGACATTTGCAACAAACGATGGAGGGAGGAATCACCACCTGTCACTCGGTTAGTACAAGGAAATGGGCTCTTCCGGGGTATTTATGTAGTCTATGGAATGATAGGGCATATTACGGCATATCATTCTAGGCTTACTGGGCTCTGTTGAGTTGGTGTAAAAAAATCATACCCCCGTTATCGATAATGCAGGAAGGGAGAGGGGGCGGGTTTACCCATGGCTTTGAGTAGGGCGGGGAGAAGGAGGATTACATACAGAAGGTATTATATTCGGAGGGGTATAAGGGGGGCTCGTTTAGGTTTTTGGATACGTAACCAGCAATAGCCTGTGGCATTTCGAGTAAGAATGCTGTAGACCCGAGTTGCTTCTTTCACGGCGGTGTGTCTAAGTGTGAGCGCCATCCTCTTTCCTTTCGGACATTTTTTCGTCCGCGAATCTTGTCCCGCCATCCACAGATCTCTGAAGGTCGGCTATTTAAGATTGGGGTGTTGTAAGGGGGTGTTCAATCCATCGGGGCATTCGGCTCCCCTATGGCAGGAGAAACTATTACTCGGCATTGAATATCATGGTACTGGATGACGTTTTTCGGGTTGCGCCTTTCTCGCGTAGCTTACGGTACGGCTTTGGTGGTACTGTGCGGTGGGGTGGGTTCAGTCTAAAGGGGGAGGGGGTGGAAACGCGGTAGACAAGGTTCAACGATTCCCGTTCAGAAGTGACTTAAATTGTAAATTACCGGGGAATTTCTATATGATCTAGTGGCGTAGAATTATGTAAGAAAGGGAATAAAAAGATGAGCGTAGTGAAATGCTGGAAAAGAGTATACCCGTCTAGATTACGGGTGTGATGAAGCCTGCAAATGAAAATCCCTATAGAAACAGTCATACTTGACATATTTTCCCGCCTGCAAATATGAAAATCCAGCACAAATGAGATTCTTTGACAGAAATGGAGACAAGCAAGAGAAGTGTATGTAGAAAGTATATTCAATAAATTAAGCAAATGGGTGAGTCCCCTGTGAGCCGGGTGTGACAAGTGCTCGCAAAGAGAGGACGTAAGATGAAGCTCAGAAATAGGGTGGAGCTTGGGAAAGTCAGCCTCACTGGAACGAAAGGAAGTGGGGAAATACTGGGACACTTTACTAACCAGATATTTCAGGCACCCGTGTGTACGAAGGGGGCCCATAGGAGAGGGCTGCCTGGTTTAGCGTCTCGAACTTTCTTCACAGCCTTGTAAAAAGCGGTAGAGACACGCTGGTGGTCGTCTTCTCCGCTTTCTCGATTTTGGAAAAGAATGCTGTAGAAGTCTCTCGCAACTTCACATGCCGCATTGTCATTGGTTTCCCACATGTTTGCGAAGGTATGACTGAATCCGGCGAGTTGAAATGCGCTGGCTAGGTGTATCACTTCGTCGGCTAACTCGGCGGAGGGGTTTTTGGCGGATGAGCAAGCCGAAAGGTATGCGATCTGGGCATTTTGCGCAACCATATTTGAAATCTCTCGAGCAAGAAGTTTGTCAGCATTATATCCATTTTGGCTAAATAGAACCAGATGACTGTCCGAGGGGTTGATGCAAGACACTCCGTGACAGGCAAAGTGGACAATGTCGTGGTGCTTAACTTTCTCGAGAACTTCTCCCGGGGTTGGATTCATCATAACTGTGGCCTCAATCGAGTTTTTGTCCGTAGAATCAAGTATATGTTGAATTTCTTCATCAACACCCGGCAGGTCAGCGGCACCGGGCGTTCTCGGCATGGGAACGAGAAGTAAGCGAGGATTCCGTTTTTGGAGAATTTTGGCTTTCTTGGAGCGTCCCGGCGAAAAGGAAGCTCCACATTCATCGAATAGCTGGAGCTGTGATTGGCGTGCGTATGAGAGGGCTTTAATGGTCGGGATATATGTTGAGATGGCTCGACTTAAAGTGTTTCGGGTGGACCCTGGCGAATGATCCCCGGCTGCATGGAAGGGTGCCATACTTAATTGCCCTACCCCAATCCACCAAATCCGCCTCAAGTTGGTGTCGTGAACACTCTCGCCGAAAGGGGTTCCATCGCATTGAAGGCGGTCAATGACAGGCCCCACTGCTACGTCCCACAACCAAAGGAGGAGTCCTTTCATCCGTTTGGTATCCTGACCTTGCTTAACCAGGGATCCTCCTCCAAAACTGGACAATTGCTTCATGCGGCGACTTGCTTCTGCGTACTTCAATTTTTGAAGCTCCAAGGAAGTGATAGCTGAGGTGGTGACAATTATGGCGTCGCTCCTATAAGCGGTACAGTTGAAGACAACGATTGGGCCATTTATTGCCATTTTTATTAGTGCATCCTGGGAAGGTGGAAGCAGGAATCCGGCATAGCCTCGTAAACCGCGGATGTATCTTAGAGTTTCTTCCATCTCATTGACAGCATCCCACCGTCTGGATATAACACTATTTTGGCGTTTCTCGGGTGTATCACCACTTGTGCTGTTGATTCCATCAGTTGGCGAGTCAATCTCAACTCGAAGACGGTGAAATCGGTCGAAGGTGGGTGGGTGGTCAGTTTTGAGGTCCGAAACATCGGATCTTGAGTCAATTAAAAAGCCCATAATTATCCCACGACCAAGCTCCAGTATCTTGAGACTGTCATAGGCTTCTCTCCCGGCCTGAAGAGCCACGGAAGCGGCAATTGAGGCAAGGCCGGAAAGTTCCGACAGCATGTGCTGCTGGTCATCGCGTTTGAGGAATCGTAGATCAACACTGGGTATTAAGTTGACTGCATCCTCCAGTATGGAAATTGATTCACGAAAATTTCCAGCTGAATATAGTAAAGAAGCAGCTTTGCGAGCCGCGTGAATCCGGGCCCTGGGCGGCGAGGTGCGGCAACCGTGAGCCTCGATATACAGGCGAAGGCTTCTATTTGGGTAATTCCCGGGACGGGGCCGTGAGAATCGTGGTTCTAAAAGTGAACCCAGGAGAGCGCAGGCATCGGCACGGAGTGGGTGATCTCGGGGGGTAGCATCTAGTGCCCCCTCGGCGTGCTCGATGGCTTTTTGGAGGTCTCCTAGGTCTCCTATCCGCTCAAACCTTGAAGACAACAAGGATCCCAAGTTATTGTGCCTACTCGCTCGATCTGGATGATCTTGAGGGGTAGCAGTTAATGCTTGCTGGGCATGATCAATGGCTTTTTGGAGGTCTCCTAGGTCTCCTATCCGCACAAACCTTGAAGACAACCAGGATCCCAAGTTATTGTGCGAAATCGCTCGATCTGGGTGATCATGAGGGGTAGCAGATAATGCTTCCTGGGCGTGATCAATGGCTTTTGGAGGTCTCCTAGGTCTCCTAT